TTAATTAAAGAGCTCAAATTAATATCGATTGTAATAATGAGTTATAAAAATAAAGAAATGAAATTATGAAGAGATAGAGAGTGTGTAGGTAAATGGAGTACACTGAAACTGAACAAAAACAAAATAGGAATAGTATAATAATTGAAGGTACAGTTTATTTAAAAGTACAACTAGAAAAACTTTAATTAAGCGAGTTGATCTCATGTAAAGGAAAACTATTAGGTTCGCTTTTTGTCTTCTATTATGAGCCACAACTTATAAGGTCTGAAGCCATTAAGTTGCACCATTTCTAGGGCACCAACCAGGAAGTCATGATGAACCAACAGACGCCGGTCATATATAGCTTACTTTTATATTACGGTTCCAATGTAATAAACTGATCATCTGTTTACTTTATCTACCCAGTCTCATTGTAGGCATATAATGCATAATATGGAAGTCTCTGAAATGACATTCGTGAAATATATCTAAGCCTCTGAAGCTGGTATATGAAGATGTCAGCAATTCTTCAGAAACAACAGTGATCAAATACAGACATTGGTCGAGCACCAACTCGTAGACTCCTGGTTTTCGATCATGAATTTTCAAGGTTCATATTCATTTTTCACGTTTTCTTTCATTGGTTAATGTATCGGTTAGTTGCAGTTACTTTCGGTGTTCACTTTATCTAGATAACACAGTAATAACAGAGGCTGATTATGATCTAAGCAATGTACTGGTAGCACATTTTAATCCGTGGTGTTGAGTTATACATGAATTCGAATTCTTGGAAAAGTAATGGGTTTCCTTTAGTTCTTAGCTATACTTTAAAAGCAAATGGAAAACATGATATTGAGTTCTTTTGTAAAGTGCTTCCAAATGTACAACAAACTTTGAAACCTTAGAAGCAAGAATAATTTCTGAATGTGTTTATTTACTAGTCTGTTACATTAATTTAGTGTATACTACTCTGTACTCACTGTTATATAGGAATTGCTATGGTCTAGTATTCACAGTAATCATTTTATCATTTCCAAAAGTAAATTTAGACCTTGAAACCATTTATTTTGCAACCGAGTAACAAAATCTACAAATACTTAACCTCGAAAGTGTTATACATGTATAAGAGTCAGAAAATTTTTCTTATGAAGTGATGTCAGCTAGAATAACACATTACCGTTGTTTGGGCTTCTGAACTACGCAACAGTGCATCGGATCGTGAACTAAAGACTCTCAAGCGTTGTGGTAAGCACGACACAATCTACCCACCGAATTGAATATGTAATTCTTATCTGTTCTGTACGGAATCCGTTTTAATATATCTATTTTGTTGTAACGAAACTTCTCACAGATTATTATTATTACTGTCATTACTACTGAGATGAAGGCTATGTTGTTTTTCTCTGACCTGTTTTCAAAATGAATGAATATAAAATAATAGTCCAGTATGAGCAATGCACAATATATCACGCGGTACGTCAGTCTTACATAATAAGCGTTTAATGACTTTGCAAAGTAATTATAACTTGGACCTAACTAGTAGACATTTTGATTTTGGGTCCATTAGGACAAAATTATCTTTTGTCATAAATAAAATTTATTTTGTTCAGACACACCGACGTTTATGTGTGTTGGTAATTTAGCCATTCATGTGTAAATCGCCCATTTTTTAGATGCGATATGGGCTTGTACACACTGGTACTATGTAGTTGATAATTTTTGTAGGGAAAACCAATGAAAGCAATGCCGATGAATTACTTGATTAGTGAGTGTTATCTCATACAAAAAACGTCAACTGAATTTGATCTACTGATTGTATTTTAGATATTCTATGATATAAAACGATTGCCAGGGTATTCTGCTGAACTACATTTATTTTTCTGACATAAATCTTACTGATCAAAGTAGTTCAAAACTGAAATTATTGTAGCACACAAAAAATAATACAATCAGTTTGGGTAACCTTGCTTTGATTGATTTGATATTTTCATTTATTCATAGTAATATTCCTGTTTTATTAATGTAAAGGTTGAAGCAGATCTACTTAAAAAGTGAACTATTGTAAAATATGCGTGTCTTTTTCCTTCAGTTATGTTTATCTAACCAAATTTTATTATTTTAACCATTATTGTGGGAAGGGTTTGTGTAAGCTGTTGGATTTCATAGTTCATGTCATGGACTGATCTTAACCGAGAAGTCACACACTACGACAAAACAGCTGTCCAGTTTTTCCTGGTTTATAATGACTGACTAAGATCAGATTATTATATAAGTTATACCATGATTTGATTAAGTGAATTTTTCAACTGACTCTTCTATGATGTACTATGGTAACAAAAAATTAAATGATTTTTCACAATTTTTTTTTGCTATTAGGGATATGATTTTCTTTCCAAGATGTGAACACTAATAGATCACCTTTTTAGTTATTACATCATTCTACTTATTCTAACAAATCTCCAAATCACTTATTTATTATGTACTCGAATAAATTATTTTAACAACAGTTCTGTTAATTGATAAAATTATTGGAGTTAGGTAGCTGAGTTGATAATTTCCTTATGGTGTATATTCTCAAATCCTAGCTAAATAATTTTAAAATGATAGTATTATTGCTAAATAATTATATGCATGAGTATTGAAGAATTAATACTGTTGTTTGTGTGTAGAATATTCAATTGATTGATCATTGGGTGGTAATCACTTTCATATACGTCAGGTTTTTCTTAGTGCAGATCGAATCCTGTCGACCAAGTTGTAATGTGTCCACTAGTTTAGGTGACTCGACATTGCAAGCACTATGTTGAGATAAGATGATGGTTGGAGGTAGTCAACAGGAAACCCTGGACCTAGGTCTCATGCTACTTGACACTCGTCAGCAAAGTGTACCTGTAATCTTGAGGGAACTGGTGCTCACTGATGGATTCGTTCCCGTGCCACTCAGCGTCACAGTCAGAGACGTTACCACTGAGCTATCCGGGCCGTGACTGACCTCTTGTAGGCTTGAGATATATTACAGTATTCAGTCAAAATATTATAATTCAGTTATGTCGTCTAAAATAATAATAAAATAATTGTATATTTGCGATATACTCACCAGTAGAAATTTATATTTCTGACTTCATGACCGAATATTCTGTATGAGACATCACTGTGTTTATTTGTATGTTGGTGGGTATGAAAAATGTATGATTTCCAAAATGTTGGAATGCAGTTAAAGCTTCAGTATCCTTGTGTACAGACTGTGTTGAAAATGAATAGAGTCAAATGTAATTGTTTAAATAAAACGTTCAAGTTGGATGGATAGTCAGACCTTCCCTTCTATTGGGAGCAGAGGGGTTTGGCATTGTATGAAATACTTCGGTTAGTTACCTCTCTCTGTAGTTGGAAAAACCTTTCTGAAGTCGTTTCAAGATTTTTAATATAAATTTGAGGATTAGTGAGAATAGAATATACTGCTATTGCCGGTTTAATTTGGAAATTGTCCAGCTCTATAAGATTTTTAGGTCTTTTTGTGTAAGTTAAGTGTTCTTTGACACGAGTCGACCCTCCAATCAACGCAACTTCAGCTGTTGATACCATATTGTGTGAATGTAAATGAGATCGTATCTTCATTTCTAACTAGACCGTTTTAAAGAGTGTTGAATGTTTCATCGAAGGCTTTGATTCTATAAGATTTCAAGAACTGTTGTAATTCTGCTGTACCTTGGCGGTAAGGTATAAATACAGTACCAATCCAAGATCTTTCACTTAAATTTTCATTCATAGATAAATAATTTTGTTTTAATATGTTCTTAATAATATCTATATCACGAAAGTATCATTATTATATTATTATCAACTTTATACCTATGCTCAATTTATTTGAAACCATCAATTCCAACTTTGGTATTGATACCGCTCATCAATTATATTGTGAAAATAACTACAGAATGCATGCCTGCTCACATGCATGATCAGGTTGCTGAATAAAGAATCGTAACATAAAAAGAACTTGTTATAGTATAGTGTTTGAAAAGATGTGATTTAGAGATTGTTTTGATGGAACATTTGTCGGAATGATTATCATAAACGTGTGCAGCAAGTATTTGGGAAATAGTGTTTTTTTAGTTGGTCATCTGAGACGTAAGTTGGCAAAGCGATTCCAGTACCATTATAAGTTACTTATAATCATCTGTAATTAGGGAGAAAAACGAAACGGAACAAAAATAGAGAACACAGAACAATAATAAAAATTACTGTTACAAATCTGTCGTCATACATGCGCTTGCTGATTTGGACAGATTTTTATTTAAATTGATTAACTGCTCTATAAGTATCCCTACAATAAACAATCAGTGATACGATGAGGATATATTTAAAGTTAGCTAGGAAAAACAGAAACGTGAAGAGAAGTTTAGTGAGTGCACTCAAGCACATCAAACACTGAATATCCTTGTCTTTTCGTTAGTGAAGTGAGATACAGTCACTGATGTAAGTATTTTTAAAGCGGAGGTAGTCTAGATATTTCCTAAATCGTAATGTTTCACCAATAATTTCAATGGAATGTTGTAGGTCAGATGCAGGTTACAGGTTCGGAATTTATACATTTACATTCGATAACAACACAGATTACTGATCAGTCAATTATCCTTTCCCTACAAATATTTATTTTAAATGTGCTTTCAATATCTTAATTGACTACTGAACAACATGAGGAGTTTGGCTACAACCTGTGGGTTCAGTATGTTTGACTAAATTAGCCAATCGAAATCCAGCATCTCAACTTCCATTATTCAGAGTGAATTTCAATGCTATTTTGTATGGCGATAATTAGGCTGAACAGTCTGATCAGTGAATGCATTTGAGAGTTGTTTAGTATTATCAGTAGTGTCTTTCTACTTATAGTGTAAATTTAGTGGTATATTTTGCTAATGACACAAACTCTACCAATGTAGTTATTAAATAGTCACTTTTTGTTTCCACTAAATTATTTCTTATCCTACTTTACTCTATTTCGTTTTCTGTTTGTTTTTTTCTAGATACAGTAGTGTTTGTGAATTAGAGAGTGTAATATCACAAAATTATCCAGAATTATTAAGTCCATTTAAAATCGTTCTAAATGATTTTCGAAATGAACTTTTACGAACTAAAAAAGAAAAAATCGATTTGGAAGAAACATACATAAAGTAAGTAATTCATATTAATTTGATCCTTAAATAAAAATGAATAATTATTAGTAATACTGTTATGTAATAATGTTTCATTGGTGAACTCTTAAATGAAGATTAGAATTCTATCATGAGATAGATTTTATTCTTCATCATTAACAAGCAAAAACTCGGACAAAATAATCTGGTATCTCAGAATTTTACTGATGTTTAGATTACTGCATTAAAAGATGTATAAGAAATCTATCCTACTTCTTATACACATCAGGTTTTGCTTTCATTGTTTCTCTTCTGAAGTTTTTTTATTTCGACTACTTCCTAACATAGTATAGTGTCATTTGAGATTATTTAGAAAATGAGAGGGTATAATGAGTTTGTATTCAACTGGATATCCATCATGCCTGTTTATTATATCGATGACATACTTTTCAATTTCTCGAAAAATAACGAATGACAACAAAAGTTATTCAATATTAATTGTTCTGTAATATTATTAGAATGTGTTCATTGTTCTGAACAATCTGGTAACCTTATCAAACAGTTTAGATGTGAATATCAACTTACATATATTCACATCAATCTCTGTCTAAGGTTTCAAAAACAAACATGCATAACGGAGGAAAACAAAATACTAATTGAATATTGTTTTATAATTCAATAATTTAAAAGTTATTTCCGTAAATACTGATGTAGGATATCATAAAATCATTTCATTGATCATATAAATTATGATTGGCTAGGAGCAGTGGACCAATACACCCCAGTTTTCAGTTATCAGTCTGCAATCTAAACTATAAAATTTAAGAATCTCTACAAACCGCTATGGTAATCTGATATCAGTTAAAGTATCACCGAAAACTAGTATCTTTGAGCTTACAATATTTCATCAGTTAGTATCGGTTTATGAATAAACCTAACTTCAAATTGAATCAATTTGTTTATACGCTTAATGCGCATATAATTACTTATCTACATTTTAAAATACATTTTAAAACAATGTGGAAAATCTTTTCCATGTGTTTTGGTTTTCTTTCATAATTGTCAAAATATGCAATGAGTCGTTTGAGTATATTTTTTGTCATTTGTGTGTTATGCAAACGTTTGTATGACATTTTCATATTTTGGCATGGATACATATCAGTCATGGTTAATATTTTTGTCAAATTACAAAGCATATTTGTTGTTACTGTTTTCAAAAACTCAACCATAGTGATAATAATAACAATAATATTGATAATGGTAATGGACTGGATAATAAAGTCTACTTATTCACAAATACATTTTGAATTAACTTGTGTAAGATGTCTGTTTTCAATGACATATCATCAGACATTTTTATGATTAACACTTTATTAATAGTAAAAGTTTTTGATTTTTTTATTTAATTGTATGGTTAATGCCTATAAAATTCACCATAAGATTTGAATATGTGACATAGTGTGTTTATTACAGAGTATTAACTTCTAATTATTGACAGTATGCAAATGGAGTGGATCATACATACTCAAAAATCAACGATATTCATAATGACATGGTGATGACAGCTATTATAAGGTTGTTTCACAAACTCTTTTTATTTCTTGAAGTATTCATGATTTAAATGAAAGTTAGCTTATTAGATAACTCCGATAGAAATTATCACATCCCCTGATGGCTAATATATCATTTTTAATTTACCAATGTTATAATTACAATTGAAAGTTATTGTTATAATCATAGATTTCAACCAGACACTGTTACTTTCTTAAGATTCAGGGTAACTTACTACTCCCTCACACAAGGAAATTAACAGAATGCACGATTGAAACACGGCATAGAATTGTTCATAGTACAACTTTCAAAATGTTGTATAGAAATTATTCACCAGAAATCACCAAAATCATTCACCTAAGCTACAAACCTTTTCAAATATCTCAACTTCTTATTGTTTACATGTTATATTTCTTTCTTCTCTCCTATATTTTCACTTATCACTTTATATATTTACTTTATCCTCAGTATTTCTTTGTATATAAATAAGTTAACAGGTATATGCGTAACCGAATTTTTCGAAATATTTAGCGAAAACAAATCACACTTTTCGGATTAACTCCATCATATCACTACACTATCAAAACGATATCTCATTATGGATTTGTGGAGATTTTTAAGTTTTATTAAGATCAAAAACCAATCCAAGTTAGACATAGTCGCCCAGCATATTCGAGTGATTGAAGTTAAACTTGTATGCTTTGGGTTTGACTTGGTGGTCTAGAGATTAGAATTTCGCTCGAGACACTGAAGGCTTGAGTCTGACACCAGTTCTGAGGTTGTGTATGCACACTGCTGAAGAGTCCAACTTTAAGACAAAATGACAATCCAGTGTTCTCAGGCTTCCAGAAGTTGTCTAACTTAGATCTGTTCGTGATCTCAGTAAAAATAGAAATATATACTTTTAGAGAATATTTAAAAATAAATACTTATCTAACAACTTTGAGTATAAATGAGTTTGATGGAAACCTGAAGAGTGTCACCAATTTTATCAAACAGACTTTAATTTCTGTTCCTTTTGTACACCATCAGATCATGGACTGAAAGATTTTTGTTAGGGACATGTGCTACTTAGTAGTTGGAAGTAGTAAAACAATTTTTCCAAAGCAAATCTGCAAGTACTCTCAAAATCACTTTTTCAGTGGCATTCATTATCACAACTTACATTTTTTCTCCAGCAATTCGAAATATTTTCATATAGCTGCATTTGTAGGTTTGAAGGCTAAATCGATATTATGAATCTTAGTTATATTACTCAGTTAACGATCTTCGATAATTGATTGTGATGATGTGACTGCTTGACGTAAGTAATCTCACGTTGAAGCACTACTATGTAACGATTTACTAGCCCAAACAACTCTTACATTGTGGTAGAGATATGTTTGTTTAAGGCTTTTAGAGAACTCACAGGACCATTGAAACGTTTATTAATGGAATAGATTAACGGGTACTAATGTATATAAACTGGGACTACTCTACCGCATATACTGGAGATGTCTCATTGAATAATGCATTCGCATCATTCGTTCATCCATTTTAAAAACTTCGGAAAACCGTTCATCGTTTAGCAATCAGTTTTCTAAGGCATGATTGTGTTCACTTTGAGGAATAATTGGACTGGAGTTCACTGACCCTATACATTTACCATAGAAACACGTCTATACTCCGAGACTAACATTGCTGAGACTGTAATTTATGGACGACATTCGAGTAATCCTGTAGTGATCTTAGAAAGCTTCAACTATTTACCAGTGTCATAATTAGATTATTAATTATTGTGAGCAATCGTAATCAGGAGTTAGAGTTTTCATCATGAATTAACATAATTCGTAATGACAAAATACTATTTAGTTATATGGATGAGTGAATTTCCGGCCGAAATTCGAGTACCTTTGTCTTAATTTTGAGTGGTTCGTTCATAAATCATAGACTTGCCCCAACACTAGTTTTATCATCACTAGTTGTTTTATTAACCAGTTACTTCATTGCTTGAAACAAAATATCAAATAAATCTTTTAAATACATCAAACGACCCATATTTAGCAAGTAATACACTCCATATTTCAGAAAATGAAACAAATGAAATAATTACTGGTTTATATGAATATATATTCAATTTGTACGACTGTGGTAAACTTTCGTTGGAGGTATTATAATGAAAACTTTGTCCATACATTTTTCATTATCAGAAGAATAATTAAAATTAGGTTGAAATTAAGCATTTCCTTAAGATAAAAACAGCTTATAAATCTATGTATTCCCTTTGTTCTCATTATTTTGCCAAATTATTCAGTGATTAAAATAATTATTGATGTTTTTATTACATTTTAAGGGTTATATATATGTACTTTGACGAAGTGGCTTAAATTAAGTCACGATACTCCAGAAATACAATTTCTCTACTCATTGGGATATAACGAAAACATATTTATTATTAACAATTATTGAACATTTAAAACATGAAGGATAACATAAGCCTTACAGTATTAAGCACCAAATTGTAATTTGTCCAATGTTTAAACAAAGTAAACAGTAAACTTCAAACACTCGGTCACAATAACAAAATTTTAACTAGTCTACACCAGTGGTGCTGATGAACTTAAAACCAAACTGATCAGTAAATAAGTGCAACAGGGATGATAAAGGTCTTTAGAAGCTTAACATCGAAACAGGCTTGCTGTCGTCTGAACTAGTTTATCACTGAACTGTCATTTGAATATTAAATGTGTCATTTATAATCCTACTGATTATTTTGGTGAATAAACGTTAGTTTTTGCTCTCTCTCTCATATATATATATATATATATATATATATATATATATATATATATATATATATATATATATATATATATATATATATATACTGTTAAACCAGTTGTAGATCATTCATGTAGGAAATCTAATCAGGCAAAGAACAATTTTCAGTTTTATTGCTTCCTTTAATGTACAATGCATATTTATTTTGAAAAACTCTATGCTGATAAATAGTTTCAAATGAACTGATTTGATGAAATTAATAAATAATTTAATAAAGAGAATTAATAACCTACTTAGATTTGTTTAGTTTATAACTATAATTAATGCATTTAATGTTATAATAAAAATGAATAGAAATATTTCAACTTTCCAATTGTGCTCTAACATTGATCGGTTCATGATCTCAATTAAAATTCAACAATCTCTACAATTTTATACAGATCAATGAATTAAGTATTGAATAGATTTATTCATTTACTGAAATAAATCTGTAAACATTTATACTGATGACGACAAGGTGGAACTAAGCGAAGTTTCATTTATCCACTTATAAATTAAACTTTATTTTTTAGAGGTTTTAAAGAAAATGAAAAAAATAACCTAAATCATAAGCAACTACATTTTACATTTTGAAAAATCTTTATCCACTTATTTGATAAAATCACTAAACTATTGTGTATATATATATGGTTTTATTTAAAATATGCAATACAATAATGATTTTGTCGCTAAGACATTATTCAATATAAATTTGAAAAGCTTCAATATTTTAGTGAAGATCAGATACTTAAAAAATGTCTACATCTTTATTATTTCACTTTATTTATTTTCTTTTTCTCAGTGATTAATTTGTCCCAAATGCCTTGTGAATAGAATTAAAACATTTGTTCTATGTTGGGTTTTTTTCGTTTTTTCCCCAATTTATATTACTTACTTAAACTGATGGTGGAGTTATTCTAAGAAACCGTTTAAAATTTGATTTTAGTTTTGTTGTCTTATTAATAAAAATGAGAATCAATTTAGTTGTGAATTATTCTTTTCTTTAACATGAATTAATGTATCTTTTTGGAGAAAAAAAGAAAGAAACAAGGAACAGAAAAAACTATTGATGTTTGATTATTAAAGTCAATGTCAATGATAAATTTTGTTAGTATATATGGTGTATATTTTTAAGATGATTTGTTGAAATCGGTTGTGAATTTGTACATGTTTCTAATTTTAATTCCTTGATCAATGTTAAATCTTAGTTGATCTGTTTTTTAGGTTTTCACCCTTAACTATACTGTGCAATTGTGCTATTGTAATATTGTAATTCTACCATAATGCATATATGACTTATGTGTAAAACTGATACAATGGTTTGTCATTTTACTGAATATTTTACCTAACTAATTTCTTACAAAATATTTATTTCTGTTTTTCGTTAGCATATCTTTTAAAAAGACCATTCAAGATTAGAATCCTTGAATTTGTGAGAATAGTAAGGAATGTAATTTGTAGATTATAAATATAGACAAACATAATTATATATTTTTCATAGCTACTTCTAGATACCACATATATCAGAAAAAATGAATTTTAAACAGTAAGATGTATTTCTGGATAAGTGTACGTTTATTAATGATAACGATACTTATATGCTTATCAATAAAATGATCACTTGACACGAATACAACTTTCTAAGTATGGTTTAATGTTCTAATGAATTAAATGATACAGATTGTACTACAAGTGGTATAGACCAAATTGATACGCTTTATTAAAAACATATTGCTTCATTTGAACTTTTAACCAAATTTCAAAAAGTTTTTTTTTGTCACTGATAACTGAATATGATAGAATTCATAACATTATGTAATCGTGAAGGTATAGTAACTGCTCACTAATTTTAAAATAATGGTTTGTTATTCTACTGACATTAGTTTATAACAGGAGTAAACTTTATATTTATTACTCATTTTTAGTTTAATAAATGACAATGACAAATGGTTTGTTGTTTTTTTGTTTCCTATCCAAATGTCTATTTGTATCTTGTATGTCTAATCTTCAATAGGAAAAATTTGATAAATTTATTCTATATAAACTGTCAAACATTTCCGAATTGTATTATTAATTTTTAATATGTTACATTTATTACTCTTTATTGTAATTCCTGTCACGTTTTCTATACCTTTTCTGATCATAAAAAGATATTTCAGGAGTTTACATTTATGTTCTGTTTTGAATATGAGAATGTTGTTTATTCTTGTTTGCTTGTAATAAATCACTTTTTAAAAAAATATAAAAGTAATATTATCCATATTAACTTTTAATTAATTATTCTGGCACCTCATAGTTGTTCATCTAGTTAGCATTGTCATTTGGGAAAAGTAACTATTGTTTTTAAGTAATATAGTGAATACTTCTGTTAAATTTCTAGTATAGATCAGTACCGGTTTAATTTGATAAAAAAAAACATGATTCTTAAGCTTCATTCTCTTAACTAACCGGTTTATACATAATACCTTAATCTATTTGCCATATGTGTATATATGCGTATGAATTTGAATGCTAACTCAGATAAGAAGACCTAAAAAAACGTTTTTGGAAAGTATTTGTCAGTAATATATTACTGCGATGAAGGAAAAATGTATAATTCATCTTAAATCTAAACCCATAGTTATTAATTACTATAACTCAAGATATTTAAAATGTTCTTCATCAATGAATACCATCAGGGTCTATAATATTTTATGAACTTACTTAATTTGTTTCATATTAAAAATAAATCTTTATGGTCTTAGGCCACATAGCTTAATGACGACCAAACTCTGATATGCTCTGATGGTAAGACGTAATGAAAGTGCTTATCAAAGTGAATAGTTTAAATAAGCTTAGACCACGGACTTAAATATCAGTGAAAAACGGAAAAAAGGAATTGTTCTTTAATCCTACTTTCTGAGTACTACTGATATCATACAGCGTTAAATCACGTATTGTCGAGGATTGTGATTGATTTTTTATTAGAGTGAATTTAATGTTTACTAGTGACTCAATTTGATGTAAATATCTAGAATTTCTGATACAATATAATAATCTATAAAGATCTAGAATTAAAGAATGAGGACATGTGCTCTCGTTGACAATTCCTTCATTCTTAAAATCAATTGTAACTGGAATTTGTTATTTACTGAATTCAAGGATTATGGCTTAGTAAAATCTCCATCGTTTCAAGATGTGACCTTCATAGATTTATAAAGTGTGATTGTGTATTAGATTGATTTTGAGTGCTAGTGTAAATCATAAAGAAGAACCGATTGTTCACTACTAGTTAGTTTCCACTGATTTTGAAACATTGTTAATACTTCTTTAGATTAATATCTCTAATTAATTCTCTAAAAAAATTTGAAACACCATATTAGTCTTTCATTTATTAAATTTATTATTTTGTTCTCAACCAAAAATAAAATGTTTACATATTTTGTTTTATTATTATTTTTGTTTATTTTTCTATGTGATCATGATAGAGAGAAGGAAAAACGTAAAAGTGATTTATCTAGATTAGAAGGTGAACTTGAATTACAGATTAAATCAATAGAGGAACGTGCCAAATCGGAAGTAAGCTTCTTATTATACAATCACTTAGTTGTGCTTGTTAGTTTTTATGTTAGTACGCTTCAAACTAATATTTGCAATTATTTATTGTTAGAAATACATAGAAAATAAATGAAAAAACTCTATGAAGAAAATCCTATTTGAATTATCATTATTATTGGTCATACTAGGATTCGAAAATCAATTATATTAGAAAAACAATTTATCCTTCGATAGTGAGATGTGGTTTGATTTGAGTTTGAAATTTGCTATACTGTGATAGGTTAGTAATCTGTTAATGTGGATAAACAGATTCCTGATATCAGCCATAATATTCAGCAGAAATTTTTAAATCAGTAGGCAATAATAACACCAGATATTGTGTTAACTACTAGTAAGTAGTCAACTTAGAAATACAAAAGTAAACCACGTTGAATTTCCGTGATTTAATATACGTGAAATGACAGCTTATGGACATTATGGCGGATTTCCTACAATCAATTTATATATATAACAACAATAATAAAACAATTCGACTAAAATACCAAAGTGATGTGTATTGAAATCTATCACATTTTTCAACGATACGTTGATAATCAATGTAATAGTTGTTGCAAAATTCTTGAAAGTTATCTGATGTTTTTATTACAGTCTGTCAGTTCAATTTTCAAGTGAACATAGAACACTCTAATTTATTTCATTATCTTTCTGAAAGTGCATCAGTCTTTTATTGGCTTTCTACTTATATTTATTCCATGATAAATATTGCTTTGTAGTGGAAAGATAATTTCCAAATAATTTATTCTATCTTCGAACAGTAACTTGGGCAAAAGTCGGAAATTAGACATTAGTGAATTAAAATTATGTGCTTTATTTACTTTGAATTGAGATGCAAAAGCTACATTGCTACGTGGTTATTTTTTATCAAATTAACAATCTCATAGGGTAGATTTCTGGCGAAGTTGATAGTTGAAACCATTCGATGTGGACATACACTGGATCGCTGTCTTTTTGTTGGCACCAATTTATATATATATATATATATATATATATATATATATCATTGTTTTAAATGGATTTGTTTTACATCGTTTTACTGTACGGTGTTTTTTAGGTACATGAAAAGTTACAAAGTGAGTATAGAACACTGGTCTCTAACAAGGAACAAGAAATCACAGAAATACGGGAACAAGTTGAAAGTTTACAACGTGTACGAGTATTATCTGTAATAGTAATAATTATTGTAATATTGCCTTTGAATTTGTTTCAGCTTGAATTTGATAGGATTAAAATCTTAAATTACTGGAGTTTATTATTTATTATGATTGATTCATGGAAGAGCTTTCTCATCGATTTTTTCCTCAAGTCATTTATTTGTAATGAAGGAAGACTTGGTGGGGAAAACAATTTATTGTTTAATGCACAATCATACAGTGGTTTGGTAAATTGTGAATATCATGCATCCAGTACATCATTTGCACATCTTTGAATTGTCTCCTACAAGCTTCATTATTCCTTAATTCCTGTTGTTATTTAAATTGCTTTCAGTTTCATTCTCTCATCTCTACATTTCAGTCTTTTCAACCTTCTGCTCACAGACATTCCACTTTCGAATGTTGCTACATGCTACTTATATCTGTCAATATGAGTGGCATACATCACATACTAACACTCAGTGATGTTTGAATATTCATAATTGACTATTATTAACTTATCTGAGCCTTAATTATTGTATACTCAATTATTTGTATCTATAAACTTTTATCTTAATATATGGCGTATGTAGTACAATTGATAAACTTAGTAGACCTTTTCTTACTTTATAGTTACTCTAGTTTCAGTGCTAGTGAACCTCTTTTGATTCACTTTACATAACTTTATATCGGTTATCTATAATCTGCTAATTTGAATATAGTTTAAAATCACGTTTTGTTTCATCCTCATGGATTATCATTTGGTTGTTAATCAATCTAACGGTTGTGGATGGCAAATCATTTTTTTCGATCGAAACCATTAACCGATTGATTTTAGACCACCATTGAAAACCTAGAAGCACTGGATGGCCATTTCGTCCTATTGCAGGACTCCCCAGCAGTGCGCATCCATGGTTCCGCTCGCAGGCCTCGAACCCAGGGCCTTCGGTCTCGCGCGCGAACGCTTGACCTCTAGACCTCTGAGCTGGCATCCAGCGGTGTTAATGTTTAACCCCAACCAATCCACAAAATTGCGCGACCATCTTCCATTTTACTGAGGTAGATACTTGTCTCTACTCAACACAGATTAGCTCCACTGGTCACGGTTTCTCACTAGAACTCCGAGACGTCCCTCACGAATCTAGTCATTAGTGAGTACATGATAATTAACTCAATCGAAAATTAATAATCTTCAGAACCCCATACTAATGATATATTGTTTTCTAGAGATAGGTTAAGAGTTTCAAACTTCTAATATCATTTAATATTTCAGAATATTGTTAATTAATTTGTATATACTGAGTGATTTTTGCATTTTTAATAAATCAATCAACATTAAGTTGATTGATGATATAAATTCTGATTCAAGGACTGGCTTATGAGGATAATCTTAACGAATATCCAATGTGTCAGTTTTTACGTAGGAATCTGAACAAATTTAATGTATCTTAATATAATATGGAATTTTAATTTAATCTACAAAAGAAATGATTTTTAAAGAAAGAAATATATGTCCTCAATCTCTCTCAGTTTAATTTATTCTGAATATAAATATATTCAAGTAATTCCTCTTTGAATCAGTATTTATTGAATTGATCTAATATGTAGAATGAATCTAGTGACAAATTCATTGAATATGCTTAATAATTTACAAGATTTTTTTTGTTTTTTTTAAAAAAAATTTATTCCCGCTTGATATTTTTTGTTTTATTTTATATTTATTTATATAGAAAATTAAAAATCATTCCTCTAATTGTTGTGATTCAATGAATAGTCCTATTATATTGAAAAAATTCACTGATTCATTTGATAAATCAAATTCTTCTTTAATTTCTTCTTTACATTATGAACATCTTAATCAAAATGAAACGATAGAACAAAATTCCTATAAAATTGAATTACAAAATGTTTTATCAATTCTAGCTCAAAGAGAATTTGAATTGAAAACATTAAAAGATCAATTAATTCAACAAGAAACACAATTAACAATGTAATCATCATTTATATTTTATATCTTTTTTCTTTTCAAATACGTATTACAATTAACTTATTATTATCAGATGGTTTTTGTAGATATTATAGTAATTTCAATGGTTAAGATCATGCGTCAGTTGAAGCTAGACCACCATAGAAAGCCTGAAAGCACTGAATGACCATTTCGTTCTATTGTGGGACTCCTCAGCAGTGGGCATCCACGACCTCTCCCCCCGATAGATTTGAACCCAGGACCTACTGGTTTTGTGTGCGAGCACTTAACCACTAGACCACTGAGCCGGCATCCAACGGTGTTAATGCTTAACTTCAACTAATCCACGAAATTGAGAGACACATCCACCATTGTCTTCAGTGAGTTATTATCTCACAACAGACCTGGTTGAACTCCACTGGTCACTATTTATCACTAGAACTCAAGGATATACCTTGTGAAGCCAGTCACTAGTGAGCATATGTTGATTAATATCAGATGGGTTTCGTGGATATTATAGTAATTTCAATGGTCTAGCTTCAACTGACTCGTGATCTTAACCGTTGTAATATATTATTATATAATAGATATCATTACCAAAGTTTAATTTGATAATTTCAAATAAATTGAGCATTGGCTAGATTATTATAAATAAATTAATATTTTTATAATAACTCAATGAGTAGAAAAAATTAGATTAGATTCTGACATTTCATGACTCAATATAAGTCACTTCTTCAGAGAAAATTTAATTTTTCTATTCATTGGAATATTACAAATATATTAATTAATTAATTATTCTATAGGTTTATTTAAATGGATAATAATGTTTCATACTTATATACAGATGATATATACATTCGATTGTTATATACCTAGGAAAAATTAAGTCTTACATAATAAGATGTAGGAAGTTGATAATTAATTGGGTATTTCATTAAAGTCAATCAACATCTAGGTACCGAAGTTTTATCAAATAGAAATCATTTAGTACTTTAATTTTGTAGACTACACAACGAATTGTGATAATTAAACATCTTACGTTCAATTATATGTGAAATGAAGGTAGTGCAAAGGGATCTAGGATTAGAATAAATAAATACGCTATTATTTCATAATAAAAATTAATCTGAAAATGTTTTCATGTTTTTTTTTTATTTATTATTTCAAGGGATAAACATGAATTAATTAGTCAAGAAGAAGAGAAACAAAATCTATATTCTCAATTAAATGTTATGCGGTAAGTATCATTTCTTGTTGTTGATGATCAAATAAATGTAATTCTATGTATGTAACTTTTTGTTTTCAATTGATGTTAAGCTACTGGAGATTTATAGTCTTGTTAGTCATATAAGAAACGTATTCTAAAGCATAGTAATTGATAAAATAAATAAGCAAACAGTGCCAAAAATATCTTAATATATATGGTTTAATGGTGTATGGTTAATCTTAAGTAAATTCAAGAAGATAAGTGTATAGCGTTGAATTATAAGTCCCAATGAATAACTTAATTGATCTCATAAATCAAGAGCTTCTGGAACAGTCAATAAATTATTCATAAGATGAATAATCCGTGTCTGTTTTTAATGTTCTCAAATGTCCATATAAATAGTATCTAGTCATTGATTACCTGAATTTCCCTCTGTTTGTGTTGTTAACTCTCTTATGCATAACCATTACTATAAAAATAACGAGGTACTGGATGAGGTGCTTGAGATTGATGGTCCGGTATTCTGGTTTAGTGTCAGAGGTCTAGGCAGATTCCAGAAACTGGACTTATTAATTAGTGTTCTGGTTGTTTGGGTTTCCAATTACTGATCTCCTGCCTGGAGATTCAATAATCAACTTCTGCTTAGTAGACAATGTAAATCTGTTTCGTTAATATGATAATGAATTACTAAATTGTTGTGTAAAATGGTCTTTGAGGGTTGAAAACGTTTTTAGATAGCTAGTATTCAGCGATGGGTATACGTAAAAGATTACTTGAATGTGTTAGAAATACTAGTTCAGCAACGCAGAGGTTAGAGGTGAGGTTTTAGGTATAAATGGAAAATCTGTCGTGTAGGCTGTATACCTTCATACACTTAAGTTATAGTGGTTTATTTTACAAACACTTTGTCATTTTTCTACTCTAACGTTCTACTCTGGTCAAAAAGTTAGGAAGTTATATAAGACTAAAAGTTATCATAAAAATATATGGCATCAGCCCATGAAGTACTTATTTGTGATCCAAAGTGTTTGGGTAAATTTAAACGTTCTAATTGAAATCTGTTAAATAGTCATAATTTATATTTGGAAGCTTTAAGTATCATGACTGAAAAGTAGTCTCAATTATATTCTTTTCCTTCCTCTAAGTCTTCAGTTTAGTACGATTTCATAACTTTCATTTTTCAGTTTCATTTGTTTCTTTTAAGCCATGTTTCATGTATATTTAATTTTCTATGCAAGTTGATATAATCATTTCTCTTGTCCTACCTATCATATTGTTCAGTCAGTTATACGCAACGTAGAACTTGACTCACATGCGCATTTGTTCAGGTTGACACACCACGTTAGCACATAGACATAACATTTTTTCAAGACAAATCCCAAATTAGTAGTGTAGTGAACAAGAACACGGGTGGGGACAATCGAATGTATTTAGCACGAAAATTACAGACTATCTCAACAAAATCTGAATACCATAAAGTCAATCGTCAATTTGCAAATTATCAATACATCCTATCAAACTGTACTGTTCAAGTTGCAAACACTAATCCATTGTCTCCCATTCCATTGTTCATAGGTTTTCTTACAAATTCCATTATGTTCTTGCTCCACCTTTCTTGGTCTTCGCCATCTTTTGCTGCCGAGCATTACGTTCTTTTAACGCACGTTATATACTACTTATGTCAATATAAGTAGCTCACACCACAGTAGGAGTAGTAACAGTATCAGTAATAATAGAAAATGTTAGATATTGAAAAATCTTTGTTCACTGTGTTTTTTTCTATTTCTGTAACTGTAAGAGAAAGATATAAGTAGTCTTACCAATCGAAATCCTGGTACTTGTTTGGAAATCAATATACTTGTATCAAACTTTGACAGAATAGTCTTTCATTCACTTTGAAATAAATATTACAATTGCCTGGTTAATAGGAAATTCTAAACATTGAATATGGCACTTAGTTGTTTTGTGTTCTCTTTGCTATCTTTGAGACGTATTACATGTCAGATAAAATGAAAGTCATCAGCTATTAAGTTGACCAAGAAGTCCTATTTAAATCATCAATTTTTTAAGACCTATTTTTGACTTATCAGTTGGAAACACTATATACTTTGTTGAAAAGTGTTTATCACAGTAAACGGAAAGTTAGTATTATCCGAATGCAACCGACGAATTATAATTATTAAATATGAACTACTGATGAATTCCGGAATGGGAAAAACTAAGCTTTAAAAACTCCATGGTTTCTTGTTGACTGTTTAATAACTGGTTCTACACTCAACCAAAAAGTAGGAACTTTTTCATTGACCAATGTGTTATTTTATCGTCAATCTAGAACTACAATGGAACGTTTAAATAAAACAAACGACTACTTATGTTCAGCGTTGCATCGTGAATCAATTCACAGGCCAAGTAGAACGTCACCATCGAGTGCTTTCTCAGAATTTATGGTAAGTAAAGTTTAATCTAAGTTACAAAGTATATATTCCAGATAGTTTTGAACCATTACTCATTCTAGTTTACAGGATATCTAAATGAAGTTTTCAAGTCCTGAGACAGTTAAGGCTACCTATACTTGTATTAAAAATAGTATAAATCGCAAAAAGGTTTCAGTTTAAAGCTTTACTAAAAGAATCTGTGATAACAGACATGTAGAATGTTTGATGTTGGCTTAGTGCCCTAAAGGTCAAGAGGTTGTCAACAGTTTTGAAGTTCCTAGGTTCCATTCCCCAATTAGGGTCGTGAGTTTGTACTCCTGAGTAGTCTCATACTAGGACGAAAAAGCCGTCCAGTGATTCTTGGTTTTCAGTAGTCGTCTAAGTTGTATCAGTCCGTATTATAAACTATGAACTTATCTTAGTTTTCCAAGCTTATATATAGCATAATCAGAAAACTGCATCTCGGTCTATAACTTATCTAGAAATAAGTTAGAAACCACTAAAACGTTGAAATAAGGTTTTAGAGGTCAAGTAGCTAATTTTATTCATTATTCACAACTTTCTATGTTCTATTGAGAAAAGTGTTAGTTGTTTTTCTATAAAACGATTGCAGAGGAAGTTTTTGTTCTCTTTCTATGATAGACGTTTACAAATAAAATTGTGACAATAACATTATCACTTCTTATTTTGTAATATGTCGCCACTTATTATTGTTTCCTAAAGGTCATTTTCATAACTTAACATGAAACAAAGTGTATATTCTGACTAATTTTATAGGCAGATGAAAGGCTTTACACTATAATTTCTGCAAGTTAATTTCATACTGTGTTGAGAAGTTACGAAATCCTAAACTGTAACGAAATAAATTTCCAGTGCTTCACAATGTTTAATCTTTCTCTTGCTGACGTCAGTTCATACTGAAACGTATCTACATTAAAGTAACTAAATTCAATTTATTTGTATTTTTGATAAATTAGTAGTATTATTTGTATCTTTTTTTTCTCCTGCTAGGAACAAAGTGGTGAGTAAATTGAATGATTTTATCAAAATATAATTAATGTTTCTGTTATTTGTAAAAATTGGTTTTAAACGCATATTATTAATTTTATGTGAAAATAATCGATTTATTTACTTTCGTCAAATCGAGTTTATACGAACCGCACAAACAGTGCACATTCCAAAATTTTATCCAGACACTAATCTGTTTGATTATCTAAAAGTGAATGAAAGTCAATTAATAGATCATTTCTCGAACACATGATCAATTCTGGTTAGGGACTGCGATCAGTAGCAACATTTGAAACTGTTAACTACCACTATTATTATTATTACTACTATCTCTTGATCCAAAGTCAAATTGTTCATTTGCATAAAATAATGCATAGAAAGTGTTTTCATACATTAGACTTTTTTCTATGATTTATTACTTTACCAGCATTTTTATTTTGAAGTGTTTGTGAATAGTTTCTCGTATATTATGAACCCCAGAGTCGGTTTAGTCTTACTCTTTGCCAGTAAAGAGAAAACTTGCAGCTCAGGTCGATGCTTTTCAGCTAGTTCAAACGACTTAATAGCATTCAAATCTTACCTCTATATTGTACCTAGTATGTGTTTGAACGAAGTGTTTTTAATAAACAATTCACCTGTTTCCGGTCAGAATTATTCTAGGGCGTAAGTTTATGCACACTTTATATGTTTAAAAACGTATACAACCCATATCGGCATCATCAACACCGTACCAAGATCCGGTATCAAGTATTCAAACATATTTGAAACAATAGTTCCAGTGGCTTGAAAGTTTTTTTCGTGCATATCTTCCTAGTTGCCCCCACATCCTGCATTATTTACTCTCTCTGGGAGCTAGGAGTGAACTCAAAAATGAAATCCATCATAGTTGTCCCTTTATTCGAATTTCGTTGTTTCATGTGCGTTATTCTTGTTTTTCGCTATTTATTTATTGGTTATGATTTCCTTCTTGGTATATATTCACAGAATTCACATTTTACTTTGACTGATTTCTTAGTGCCGTTTTATACCAAGCATAATAAATGAATCTAAATAAGACATTTGAAATGAGTTATGGGTGATCGGTAGTCTAGTTGAAACGTAATAACTGATAAAATTCGCAGTAGTAACCAAAGTATGATCAATCTTCTGCCACAGGAATTAGTTTCAATCTAATTTTAACTTTTTGTGACGTATTTACTCTAAGAAGCGGGTAGAATCCACTACCGTATGAAAAGATGCTCCAGGTACCTAAATGTAATAAGTGATTTTTCATTTATATGCAGGTAAGTAAGCAATCAAAGTTTGATGATTTTAGTCGATTGCGCTTATTTCATGCCACCGACGACTTTCTATTATTTTAAGCTAATTAATACATCTTTATTGCTGCAGTCCAACCATTATATATGTTAAATTCGGGAAGAGTTGGGTATAAATGCTGAAAGTCAAGCAAAATAGTTATAAACATCCCATCTGGTTGATTTTTAAGGTTTAAACTAAGTAGAATCACTTAATTCTATCAAAAATACTTACAAGTAGTTATATCTGTCATGCAATTAGTCAACTATACTACCGTAAACTGCATTTGTAAGTAATATAATCTTAACTATTTATTTAATTGTAAATTTCTATTTTTATATGATAAGATAACAACGAAACCAATCTACAGCCATGTAGATTTTCAACAGGAATCAATTTCCCATTAGAAGTAAGTTAGACAGTTTGCATACTTTATGATTTTATTCTCATATTATTATCTAATTTGACTTTATAAGACGCATACCTCTTCATTGAATTCAGTATAGGTGATTGAATTGGTTTTTAGATACCCAAATGTGTATTTTAAAAAATATGAGTAGTGAAAAATCACTTTGAACTCATATTGATTACTTTAATGGAGTTATATACCATAAGATTCAATCTAAACTTGCAATTTCATTAAAGATGATATTTCTGAGATATTTATATCAGTATCTTGAAATCTTGTTCATTAATCAATTAGTTATTTATTCAAAACCATCCAATGTATATTTGTTTTGATAACCCACTGGTATAATTAACGTATATGTACATTAAAGTTGGGTGATATTCAGTGGATTAGTATTAAATGGACCACCTTTATGGCATGATATGTAACTTTTATGTTGTCTAATGTAAACATTAATTATGTGGTTGAAACTACTGACATTTTTTCCGGAATATTTTCTGCTCTAAATATAAAAATGTAGCATAGTCTATTCATCCTTAACGTCCTCATTTATTGATATTTTGTTTATTCTTTGTAACTGTTTATAAAAAATACACAAAGACGACACAAGCTTAGATACAAAATGGACTAGAAAAATGAACTGATAGAAGAAAAAATAATGAAGAAATAATGAATAATTTCCAAAGCAAATGTCAACACTAATCTCTTTTCATTATTCTATTTAACTTTGTTTCATTTTAATAAGTTCAATCTAAATGTGTTTGACTCATTTATAACCAACTAACAAATTAACTGAGCGACAGTTAAAAATATAAATAAAATTAAATGAATAAACAAGTAAACATCATATTATCTATAAATAAATGAAGAATGTTTTATCCTTAGATAATATTCAATTATTCATTGACTTTGTGCACTTTTTATTTATTTCACGTCTTTTATCTAGTTGTTATCTATTCATAAGTCAATTTAAATTATATTTCAATAATAAGTTGAATAAAACAAACTAAGAAAACATTGAGTTTGATTAAAGTTTAGTTAAAATACATGGTGAATTCCTGAAAAACTCAAAAAATATTTAACCAATCTCAGTTAGTGATATTAAATTTTGTTCAAATTAGTTTAATATTTACATTGTTTTTTTCAATATTTCTGACTATTGATGACTTCGATGAAGGTTTTAGTGTAATGCAACAATTTAATTCGATGAAATGATGTTTGATATTTGTTTATCATATTGTGAAATAGTCATAAAAGAACGTTAAATGGTCAAAATTGCAAAATGCTTATAGTCATATTTTTACCAAGCAGAACAACAATAATGTGTATATAGTGATTATTCTGAGGTATATATTTATTCATAGAAGAGTCAAAGATTCAGGTTGATTAATAAACTACGAACTAGAGCTCTTTTGATTTTAGTTCATGTTTACAACTAATGAAACTTAATAACGATAATTGAAAATTTTCTATGAATGATATCCTGATATACAGTTTTTTTGTTTATATATTACTACCATTGAAGTAACTACTTCTGTAAATTTGGTGTTCATCTCGTTGTACTATAAAAGTGTGGCAACTTGGACTGACGCATATATGTGCCTGGTCTTACATTGTAGCTGGTTGACTGACTGATGAATAATATTGTTCAACATAGATATTGTTAAGTAAGAAAATATTAATAAAATTATTTCAGAAATGTAGTATTGAAAGTTGAAAAATTGTGACATTATCAATGTACTGATAACTTGAAGAAGTCAGAAGTAGAGAAAACTAGCAGATAATTTAGCTGCCTTACAACTAAAACTATACAGTGTTTATTTACACAAAGATTAAAAACAATTTGTAAACAGTCAATAATTTATTTGTGTATAAAAATGAGGACAGATTAATGTTTTCCTATTGATATGATAATTAAGAAAATGTTCGGTAAATAACGATAGTCAAAAGTGATCTATAATTTAATTAGTTTCATTTCATTTATGGCTAGCAACATTTTGAAATAAGTTTTAAACAAATACAAAGCTGACTACAGCCTATATAAATCATTTTGCAAGAAAATTTGTGTTAAAATAAAGTTGTATTGTAGTGAATGAGAACACAAGTGAGGACAGTCGAATGTATCTGAACACAAAATTACAAAATTTCTCAGTAAAATCTGAGAACTATGCAGTATATACTTCGTTTGCAGTCAGTTGTCTCAGACTTGATTGTTTCTTTTCTTTTTTTTCACATCGATCATTCTCTGTCCTCGTACTCTTTTATCCGATCTTCTTAACCTTCTGTCGCCAGGCATTTCACTTTCGACTGATGATACATACTACTTATATCTATCGACATCAGCAGCATACACCACAGTATGACTTAAAGATTGTGAGTGATTTGAAAGTTTTTCTAATATTTTCGAATCATTCTATAATTTTTTTGTTTAAAGTCATTCAATATCTTCATCTTTACGTTAACTTATTTAATTCTGTCACTTCCTCCATCATTTTCGAACTGTACTCGTATTGTTAAATCTATAATGTCAAGTCCTAGTATCGAAATTCTCACAAAATCTTTGAATATTGCACCAAATCTTGTAACTACTAAAAAGCTCAAAAATGATCCGCTATAAACAAACTCAAATAAATATCATTATAATAAAATGTCAGATTATGTTTACTTGAAATTCGTTTTATCTTAATTATTTATTCAACCCAATGAAAGTAAGTAACACATGTAAATATTAGCATAGTTGAGTGTAGGTGTTTTTGTTATTATATTTAATCTATCAACCCTACTAGTTGAAGAGGAAATAGCTTTGTCAGTAAAAATCTTAAACAACAATATATCACACATGTGTGGGTTTATAAATGTTTTTGAAATGTGGAATTCTTAATAATATTCTCATAGGATGTATTTCATTTTATTCTAGAGGGTTGTAAATCTTATCTTCAATCAATCCTTTTAAGATGAAATATGTCCCTTTCGTCTAAACATTGAGTTTGAATTTTAGACAGATAAATTAAAAACTTCTACCCAATGAAAATCGTATATGAATGATGATATTAAGTATATGATTTAACTACTATTTAGTAAATGAATTTAAAATATTGATTGACTGATAATTACAAGAACCTACATTTAAATTATTAATGCTCTACCAAAAGTGAACGAATATCAGAAGGAAAAATAAGTGGTCAGAAAAATATAAGTTATTAATATAAAACTTTGTGCAGATCATTGCATGGAACTTCTCAGCAGCGCTCATACACAACTCCACCAGGAATGGGGCCTAAGATCTTCAGGTTTTATACTAGGACGACACAACTACCTGGTTCATCTTAGTTTTCAATAAATGACTAACTTAGATCAGATCGTGATATTTTTAAAAATATGAGTTGCCTTAGATAACAAAATCACATACCTATGTCAAACTATTTTACGCAAAATAAATTCATTTGAAACGTGAATGATTATTAGATTCGAATTTTGTGGATCATTTACTGACCAGTAGATTCGGGGCCTTACAATCAAATTCACATTTCCTTACCATATCATATACAGAACTATTTATCATTAGCCATAAAGCATATAAAGTTTTCCGAGTATTTTATCCCTTCCATTTTGTTTTGGGCTTACTCACTTCTTTTTTGACAAGGCAAATTGGCTTTACTGGAAAAAATATAACGTAATGCTTTTTTGAGTTTTGTAGAAACTGCACGTAAATTTTTAATGAATTAATCTTTTGTCATTTTTCTTTTGTACAGCCACCATCTCTGTTTATTAATTCCTAGGTTAAATTTATTTACTGGGAGATGTTTGCTGTTGTTGTCACTGATATGTCAATTACTGAATAAATCTTTCCACTTTCTACAGTCCTGATTAATGTTTCTAGTCACTGTCTTGACTAAATAATATGAGGCGTTTCGTTGGAAATCATTTTCCATCTTATCGGCTAGCTCTTTTATCTCTTTTTTTGTTACCATTTGCGTAAATGGAAGTTCATTTAGAACTGATCAACCGGCTCATATCTATAGAATGTAACCTTAAGACTTTCAGGTCATATGGGAAGCACGGTATCTTTCAGCAACTAAATTAAAATTTAACAGTTCACAATCCTCACCTTTATTCATTTTACAGCTCAGTACGGCCATTATTCAGTGTCCTGTCTAGTGAATCGGTTTAACTTTTAGATCAAAACATTTCAATGGAATTCCAGCATATTCATTGCAATAAATTCTTAGCTAAAACTTCCTTCCGGCTGAGTGATTTGTTGGTGTCATTGTCATTTACTTTTTTTGTGTATTTAAACTTTGTCAAGTTTAACAGGTTATATTCTCTTTCACAGTTAGGCATCTATACTGTAACTCAGCGTTTTAGCTTACTCATTAAATGAGATGGTGGCGAAGATTTGTAGCTCAGGTGGATGATTTTGATGGATCTTTGTTCTCTGAGCTAGATAGTTTGGCCGTGAAGATTTCATCGTTATTCTGAACGACATCATCAGCTAAAACATCTCACTTCTACCCGAAGTTTGTTCTGATGATGTAGCTCAGAATAAATATGAAAGCTCCACGACCAAACCATCAATCTTAGAGAAAAAAGCTCTGTCAAAAAAATTACTCATAAAGTATGGAAACTTATATACTCCCCTCGGTAAACAGTTCTTGTTGAGCTATATTTAGGGATAAATTTTCAATCAAACATTTTAGGTATAAATTAAATTTTAATAACTTAAATAGTACATTTTTAGCCTTGCAGTTTTAATCTAATTAGTTGAAACAGAAATATCTCGCTTGAAAATTTTACTTCTCGAGATTTGTTACTTTTTTCCTGTAACTATCAAATATGCCTTGTGGTTTTTTCCTACAACCTGAAGTTTCTAACATTTACCCAGCTGATCATAAGAAGATAAACTTTTTCTCCGTTTCTTTGATAACCGATTTATGAGTACACGTACAAAAATTCACTTTCTGTGATTATTCAAATTGATTGTCAGTCACTTCATCAATAGT